CCCCCCCACCCCACACACACACTTGTTTTGGTCTGCGGGTCGGGAGCGGGCCCCTTCCCGTCAAGAGCTAAACGGGACGCGGGTATAGCCCTAATTGGGGAGACAGGGCGCGGGCGGGCGGGGCCTCAGGCGGCCGGAGGGCTCAGAAAACAGGCGGCGCCGAAGATCTTGCACAGGACAAGGTGCGCCATGGACTGGAACAGGGGGCGCGGCCCCACAAGGAAAGTGGATTGGTCTTGCCGTCACCGGCGCGCCAAGAACACCAACCTCCAGTGCTGCGTGAGGAGGGCCGTGAGCAAGTCAACGTCCGCGAGGTCAAGGAAGACCAGGAAGGCGAAATGCACCAGGTGCCACCGACTGGTAAGGAGGGGCCCAGGAGATGCGGACGACCACGAAGTCGATGTGCAGCGTTGTGCCACGGGGTGGTCAGTAGCGGCCTGGGGTGGTAGTCAAATCCATGTCCAGGTAGCAGCCACGAGGTTCGGCACGATGGCCGACTGTTCCCGTCTGCCGCGGGCCGGGCCGGAGCCGCGCTGCCCAGGGTGAGCGGGGCCGCCGAGGCGGCAAGGCGCAGAGCCAGCACCGGGCCGGAGCCGCGCTGCGCCGGGATCTGCCGCCATGAGAGGGGGGGGGGAGCGAACGGGGAGGAAATAGCGGGCAGGGAGGAGAGAGGCCAGCGTCCCACGCCCTCGCTCAGGGCCTCGGCGCAGCGCTGTCTCTCCTCTTTAGCCTGGTCTTCGTTGCCCCAGTCAGGGACCTCCTCCTTAGGCGGCATGCGGGATGCAGACTCGTAAGTGGGATCCTGTGTGCTGGATCGTTGTGGGTAGGGCTCAGGTGGGTGCCTGTCCTGCATGTGTTCTGCGGACGCTGGTCTGTCTCCCGTGATGATGACGCCGCTCGAGGGGTTGTTGGGGGTTGCTGTCGCTTGCTATCCGTGCATCTTCCTTTGGACGCTCTCCAGAAAAGGTAGCTGCGCGGAGCGCTGCGTCTCCACTGAGGACATATACGCGAAGCGTCTTGTCGCCAACGCCTCGCGCTTCCAGCCACTCTCCGCCGATCTGGACGAGCAGCATGCTCTCGTGCGATGACGCGGAGGACGGGCCCGAAGACGGCCCCGGCCAGGGGCTGCGTTGCGAGGGGCTCGTCGCAGTCCGTCGTGCTCAACCACCTGGCGCGGGGAAGGGAGTCACCCCTGATGACCACATAGTCGCAGCACTGGATGCATTGATTGTCCGTGGCAGCTGGGCACAGGCATCCCAAGATGGGCGTGTCCGGGACCTGCCCCTGCAGCACTCCGCGGTTGCCGTGTTCTGCACCCCTCCCGATGGATTCGGGTGATGGGCCGAAGGACGGCGGTGCCCCGCTGGACATGGTGGCCGTGGGCCGCGTGGCCGGCTGGGCTGGGGTCGGCTCGTCGCCACGCGGTGTGGGTGGAAGGGAGGGGGTAAGGGGTGAATCACCACCGTTGATGGGCGGCTTCGGTTGGTTATGGGCAGGGGGTGGTAGCCTGGAGTGGGCTGGGTGTCACGCGCCTTTCCTTGGTGGGCCTTGATGACTGGACTGGGCTGGGTGTCTGATCGGGGCGCACGCCCGCCCGTGGGTTGGTGTGCTGATGAGCCCCGCTGGCGGTTGCGCTTTCAATGGGAGACTGAGCAGAGGCAGCGGCGCCTGGATCCCGGGACGGGGGTGGCAGTGCAGAGGCGTGGCGGTCGTGGTAGCTGCGCTCAGCCTCGCCCCAAGCGGCTGCGCGTCGCCGCGTCTCCTCTGGGCTGGGACGTGCTGCGCCTTCTGCCGTCGACGCGGGGATGCCTGGTAGCGCGGGGAGAGGTTTGTCCCCTGCTTTTGGGTATACGTCGGGGCAGCATTTTCTGAGTATCTCGCTCACGTCTGATGGGCGCATGTCCCATTGGTGGATAAGGCATTCCTTGCAGTACCAGCCTGCGTGCCAGCGCTCGGCCAGGAACATCTCCCTCATCAGCTGTACAGGGGGGAGCCCGTGGACCAGGCTGAAGCCGTGGCGGAGTCCTTCTGGATCCGCGGCGTGCCCGTACATGCCTGGGTAGGCCTGTCCCGGCCCCCCCGGGTGTCCCTCCGTGCCCGAGGGGCATCCGTCGCACCTCCAGATGCCGACATTCCCCTTGCAGAATTGGCTGATCAGGCGGTCGTCGTTCGTGCCGCTGGCTGGGAGGGTGGTTCCCACGTTGAGGGGGTTCAGGTCGCCTTCCAGCGGGACCAGCAGCTGCTCCCGGGGCGTCAGGGCCGTGGGTAAGGGCGTCGGACACGTCCCAGGAAGGGCACGCGTTGCACGGGCAGGCATGTCGTCGGGGCGGTCGTTGATCCAGCTTTTGAAGTCCACGTCGTCAGGAATGGGCTGACGCTCGGCCATTGCTTTCGTAGTCCAGCAGCATATGCAAATCCAGGTCAGGTCCTTCCCATGGTAGTACTCCGTGAGCCTGTTGCTGCTGATGGTTTGGCGGATCCGTTTGCTGACGTATTCGCCTTATCGTGCTTGAAGGGGCCGCGCAGGCATCCTTGACAGTAGAAGTCGGCCTTACGCTGGTCCTTCTTCCACCTGGTCTCTCGGCTGTCTAACCATTGGGGCCTTAGTGTCACTCCAGGGCATGGCCCGAGAGGGGCCGGTGCGTCCAGGTGTAGGCGCGTATAGGGGTATCCTCCACCTATCCAGGTGACGCTGCTTGCCTGCTTGGTCGTGTCGTGGGTGAGGCCGATGTCGGATCCGATCACGTCGGCGTAGAGCGCGCATACAGCGCACTCGTGTGCTTCCAAGGCTGCCATGCCAGATCGGCTGTGGACACGATGCCCTCAATGACTGCGAGGGTGACCTGGAGCGGGAACTTCTTGGCCACTAGGCCCCCCCTAGGTCGCGGGGCAGTTCGCCTTCTTGGCCAGGGGGTGGTGGTGGGCGACCGTGACCAAGCGGGACACCGCTGTGATCAGGAGCTCCAGCGCGGAGTGCAGCTGGTTGAAGTGCTTCCTCTGCAGCCCGAACATCGCGCCTAGTCACGTGCAGTCTTGTCGCGTGGGCGGTGCGGCTCGCACAGGCCGAGGATGGCCTCCAGCACGTCCCCGATGCCCTCGGCGTCCCCGTACGGGTACAGAAAGGTACGTGCCTCGCGCTGTATAAGCAGGGACAAGGCGAGGAGGATCATGGCCTGGATACCGCCCATGGTCGCGCTGGTGCTCTCCCGGAGGCTGTTGACGACAGCAGCTGGGCTTTCTTTTGGACCCATGCTGCAGAAGGCGTGGAACACGGCCGTTGTGGGTGGCTCCCTGTGCTTCTGGCACTTGCAGGTGAATGGGTGCCAGCATCTGGGTCTGCGCCTGGGGACGTCGGCAGGGATACAGGTCTCCTTGCTATGCCAAGCTGCCGGCATGTTCGGTCGGTTCCTTCGGGGTGGGATCAGATTGGGGTCGAGTGCGTGCGCGGCGTCCTTGTCGGTGACTCCGAGTCCTATCGCCCGCGCGATGGTCGCGAAGACCGCGGTATAGACTGACCAGGTTACCGGCGTCCAATCCTACCAGCGCTGAACAGTAGAAGAGGAATCCGTTCATGCTACATTCCTTTCTGTCCTGAAGGCCAGGGTCGGTGGGCTGGTCTGCGACGCCGTACTGGTGCGGGTGTAGCCCGAGGCACCATAGCAGGCACGGACCCAGTGCCGCGCAGCCCAGAAACTTGGCCGTCGCCACGTTGATGTCGTCCTCCAGGTCCCTCCAGCTGTGGTCGGCAGGGAGTGGTAGATCGGCGCGTGCTGCGAAGCTGGCCTGCTGAGCCTGTCTCGCCTTGACCACTTCCTTCTCCTTCCGCCTGCGCTCAGCCTCCGCCACTAGCTTGTCTTTCTCGTCAGGGTTGGTTGGTTCGGGTACTCGTCCATGAAAACCTTTGGGTCGGCCTTGGTCTGACTCAGGGTACCGTCTCGATGCATGTGGAACTCGAAGGCAAGGTCCGCCCTCCGGGCCCAGCTGCTCAGGTGGTGGAGCGCGGCGTCGGTGGCCGTGCGGAACATCCTTGCGTCGGCCGTCATGATGAGGTTGCACTGCGGACGTGTCAGCCCCACGTTGATGCGGTGCTGGTCGTCGACGTGGCCCCAGTTTAGCATGGAGTTGGCTCGAGTGGTCAGGAGGATGACGAGGGAGGCTCCCTGCCCCTGCGCGGCATCGGTGGTGGTGACCCGGATCGCCTCGCTTTCCAGGTGCCCGGGAAAAGAGCTCTTCGATCCCTCTGAAGCGCTCACCCAGGCCGTTTGCCAGCGTGGCGTGGTTGATCCAAACCCCTCCCGTAGGCGCTCTGGTGCTGTGAGAAGAGGTGGAGCTGTCCCGTCCTTGTTGTCGTAGGGAGCTGGGGCCATTCAGCGCCGTCCCCTTGCGCCGCTCGCGAGCAGCGCCTGATGTCGTGTAGTGAGCACGGGCTGCCGGCCAGTACGGGGGTCAGCTGGAGCTTGTAGGGCGACAGGATGAGGATGGTGCTCTTGGTTGATCTTAACCATGGCTCGAGGGCGCATACCAGTGCCACTACCGTGCGCGCTTCGTGGATATTCGCGTAGCCGTCCTGGAACTTGGGCTGCACCTCTTGCGAGGGGATGTGGGCGAGAATGAAACGATGCCAGTCGTAGCCGGGGACGCTGCCCCCGTTCGGGGCCACGCAAGCTGCCTTACTCCTGAATCCGCCTGCGGTGTCGATCAGGGAGTCCTCCGGCTCGTAGCTGGCGTCCTCACTCTTCGCCGCTTCGTACTCCTGGCCGGACAAGGGTTGCGTAAGTGGCCACTCCAGCCCTTCGGCGCATGGCCGCTGCTGCAAGGGGTCCAGGATGGAGGAGATCAGTCGGCCCCCGTAGAACGTGAGCGATGGCCACGCGAACAGGGAAGGGTGGATCCGATAGCACTCCTCCAACGTGAAGTTGCACTCGGGCATATCCCCTATGGCTGCTACGTACTTAGCGAGGATGACGAGTTTCGCCTCGGTGGCGACTTCCGCGCGAAACTTGCGGAACCAGTTCACGTGCCACGTGTTGACGTCGCCCTCAGATACGTTGTACATATTGGCGTACTTTGCCGCAGGGGTGATCGATTTGGCCACGCTTCCCTTAACCTTGTCCTAGCGCGCGAGGCGCGCTGCCAGGCGCGGGAACAGGTCCTTCTGTCAGGGTTCAGGTTCTCCCGATCTGCTCTGCCAGGTTGTCCATGGACCCGCTGGTGCCGCCAAAGCAGCCTACTCCCCACACCCGGGGGGAGGAAGGACATGTATGCGTCCGCCACGCATGCTGCGACCTTGGTCTCCCCAGTCCCGGGAGGTCCGTGGCAGAGGGTGAGCAGGGCGTTCTGTGTCGCTAGCGCGCAGCGCCGCTGCGCGTCGTTGGCTCGGTGCAGGTCACAGATGTGCGCAAGTTGCTCCTCCCTAGGGGCCGGCAGAAGTCGCTGGAAAACGCTGCCTGGGGAATTATCCGCCAGTTGCGGCGTCAGTGCAGGTCTGCCGGTACGTGGGTCGGCGCGGGGTTGGTCGTCGATGATGCGCTCCAGGATCACCGAGGCCTGCGCCAGCAGAAGGTCTGCCGCTTCTTCCTGGACTGGCACGGCGAGGGCTCTGGCCTTGCTGTCGTAGTCCTTGTGTCGGAAGACAAGCGTCCATACGATGGGTGGGAGGGCGGTGCCCCAGAAAGCCGCCTTTTCCCACCCGAGTGAAAAGAAATCTCGTATCGCCGCGTTGACCTTGTTATACTGGGTCTTCCTCGTGGTGCGATCGACCCTGTAAGATGCCTGGCCTGGGCGGGGCCTTGCGACTGTGTCGTCGTTATCGTGGAAGGGACCGTTCCTTTTGGCGTCGTAGTGGACCAGCGCGATTCCAGCAGGGCGGCTCCGGTCAGCGCCTGAGACCCTGGCGCCGGGGGCTGGGGGCCATACGTGCGTCATTTCGGCCAGGAAATCCACAGTTGGCGAGGACTTAGAGATGAGGAAAGTGTTCGGGGTGCCTGGTGCCATGTCACGCTCCGGCCACTCCAGGGCCCACTTGGTGTCCCAAACCATTAGGTAGTACTCGCTGAGTCCCAGCTGCTGCCCTTTGAACCAGTCCTGTAGGTGGTACCTATCCGAGATATCCTGGCACTGCTCGTCGGGCTAGGAAAAGGTGAGGATCTACACGTCTAAGTCGCAGGTAGTCTTACTGGCGATGGCCTGTCGGGCCGGGGTGGTGCCGTCGTCAGGTGGTTTCACGTCCACGTAGAATTCGGCGAAGAAGACTCTCTTTACCTCCTGCCCGTGAAGCTGCACACGCCGGGTCCAGTCGTGAGGTTGTGGGACAGCACCAGGGATCGGCCCGAGGCAGGGCCGCGCTGCAGCTCCGTATGGAACCATGCACCAGGGAGTGCTGTAGAGCTCCTCAGCGTTCCTGGCGAGCTGTATGTGGCGTCCTTCGATGGCGGGTGCCCCAGGGGACGCGGGGGCCAGTAGTTCGGTCGCGCAGGGTGCCGAGGCGTTGCTGGCGCGTCCTCCGGGCTGGTCGGGGTGGACAGGGGTGGGTGCCCAAGCTGGGGGTCCAGGGACTACGGGCTGAGCCAGCGGCGGGTGGCTGAACGGGGTGGGCGGTGCGTCGCCGAGTTGTCCCGGGGGCGGTTTGGACGTACCCCTCATGGCCAAGGAGCCGGCCAGTGCCTGTCCGGCGCTGTGGAGTAGCTGCTCCTGTGTCTGCAGTTATCACGGCTGATCACCATCCCGAGCGGGGGAGAGTAATCAGGCCCGTCGTACTGCATGGGGAATCCAACCAGAATCGAGTCCCAGTCGCCCCCGTTGGCGCACGGGTCGATGGGGGAATTCTTCGCGTCAGACTCCCAGTCCCAGCACCAGCCTGGGTATGGTGTCCTCTTGATCTCCGCTGTGTCCACGCCCCTCGTCATGCTCCCCAGGTCGCCTCCAATTATGAAGCTTTGGGGATCAGGTAGTCCGTGGGGTGTATAACCGTCGATGTGCTTGTCGATATGCGTCTGCCTCCGCTGTCTCATGTGCTCGGTTGACGTGAAGTCTCCAGGTTTTGACCATTTTGCCGCACTCATCACAGAGCCAGCACCAGTGCCCTCCACCATTGTTGTCGTCGACGTATGCCCACCTGACGCCCGGGGCCTCGCGACACCTGAAGATAATCATTACATCTCCGTCCTTGGGCGGGCGCGGGCGGCAGGGGGCAGCATGCGGCCATCTGGCCAAGATCTCGGCCTCGTTCACCATAGGATCCAGGGGGGGCAGGAGGAGCCACGCTTCAGGTAGTTGCCGATCCGGCGGGCGGGGCCCTGAGCATTAGCAGCTGCGGTGGCGAGGGAACGAGAGGAGCGAAGGGGCGAGACGAGTCGCAACCCCAGGACAACACACCCAGAACACGCGCAGCGCGGGGGGTGCAGCGAACCCCTTATTATCCCCTATTATTACTGTTTCTGTTCGCCTGGGCCTCGAGCCTTTCGACGGCAGCGGGGAGGTCAGGAACGGGAAGCCCCGCGAGGCTGGGGTCGGGAAAGGCATATGTATGTCTTGCGGGGGGTCGGCGTGCCACACGATCCAAGTTGAGACGGCGGCGTGTCCTTCCTGCCTCAATTTCTCGGCCCGAAACACCCCGAGCTTTGCCAGGGTGTCAGCAGCCTTGTTGAGCCGCCTGCGTACGGCCTGCCACGTGAGCCGCCACCCCTTGGCCGCCAAGGAACGGCGGCCCTGGTCCATTCACACAGGTGCAGTCTTCTGTACCTTCCAGCGCCTGCACCGTAGCGGACGGCAGCGAGGTTGTCGCCGAGGATTCTAGCAGCCATCGCGCCGCTGCCGCTGGCGGCCGCCTCTATAGCATCCAGTAGGCCTAGTCCCGCCCTACATCCGGCGGTTTCGCCCGCCTGGGCGCTATCGGAGCCGGGAAGGGCGATTACGCACGAGGCGATCCTGTCAGGTGGTCCACCGGTGGTGGAGTGGTGCGATAGCGCGGCGCTGGCCCCAGCCACTTTCGCCCTTCGGGCAATGGAGCGGGCCCCGCCGTCGAAGATGATCTCGTACGTCCATGGAGCCCGGTCCTGATCAGGGATGGGGGAGTCGCTGACAGTCACCTCCTGCCCGTGTTCCATGGAATGGGAGGCGATGAGTATCAGGCAGTGCTTGGTGCATGTCCTGCAGAAGGTGCCTGTCCAGTATGCGGTGGGGGTGTCGTCCGTGACGCGGGGGCAGGGTAGCCACCCTGGCCCCGCTAGGAGCCAACCGGCGTCCGCGTGGGTGGAACGGAGATGCAGGAGATGCTGGCCGGGCAGGGTGCAACCCGTGGCGGCGGCCAACCTCCTGCAATCGCCGCCGGCCCTGCTGGCCAGCCGTGCGCCATGCAGGGTGGTGGACCCGTGTAGGGCGCAGGGAGGGACGCCGTGCGGCATGCATGCCTGGCAGGCAGTGTCTGGACGCGTCCAGACGCTGTCCGAGTCGTTGCCAGGCATATTTACGGTTATGTCCTCGTCCTCAGGGGCGTCGCCGGATCGGTCGACCACCATTCCGGTGCGAATAAGTTGCGCCGCGCTGTCTGCTTCCAGGGGCCCCCTGCCAAGCGCAACGTGGTACCTATAGGAGACTTGGTGCAAGAAGACGGAACATGTCCGTGCGTGGTCGACTGGAGCGAGGTTGGCTTGCGGAAGCAGGTCCGGTGCATCTCCAGGACACACCAATGTCCAGGCGAGCGCGACGGCGGGACACCAGCCCCATAGGTGCTCGCTGCTGGCTTCTCCCATGCCACACAGAGGGCAAGCACCGCATGGGCTAGGCGCCAGGCTGGGCGTAGCACGGGTAGGACCACACGTGCTGCGGGTGTTGGCGGCGAGGGTATGGAGTCGATCAGGGAGGGCGTGCTGCGGCAGCAGTGGCCACTCCGCCTGTGGACATGCCCAGTGGCCCAGACATCGGTTGCACCAGGCGACGCCTCGATACTGGGCCGATGCGGCATGCCATACGTGATCGGCCTCGCATTGGCACTCATTACATTGGCGGGGGAAGCGATCCTGAGCGCTACGCCATCTCGCATGTCCTTGGAGGCCGTTGGATAGAAACTTGAGAATGTGGTAGGCAGTGGTGAAGTCGGTGGCCTGCGCAAAGATGTCCCATTCCCTCTCTCGTCCTGGGGCCACCTCCGTCGATAGCTGACCCTTGCATACCAGTAGCTGGCCGTGGTCCTGCGGTGCTGGGCCCCTGCGGCAGCGTAAAGGGCGCGGCCAAGGAGTCGCCCCCCTGGCAAGTCAGGTTGGGCTGTGTGCGCCATGATGATGCTGGCGGCCTTGGGCAGGGTGAGGGCCTTGGCCCTTCGTCGGGGCCGGGCGGGTGGAGGCGGATTGCTGTTGGCCCATCTGACGAGCTTGTTCCACCTTGTCAGTGCCCTTCGTTTTGCCGGTGTGGGCCGCCAGACGTCGCCCCGCGCGCGCGCCAGTGCTGAGATGCTGCGAGCCAGGGCGACAGGGCACTTAGGGCAGCAGGGTATCTGAAACATGAAGCCGAGGCCCGTGAGGATACGGCCAGGCGCCCAGTGGGTGCTGCCGGCCAGCCCTATGGCCAGTCGCAGCTGGGATGTCATGGACCTCTCTAGTGCTGGGAATGGGGGCACATAGTGGGCGGGATAGGGGATCAGGGAGACGATGCAAGCGTTCCATGCTGCTGCTCTTCGCCCGGGCGAGGCGCGTGCGTCGTAGAGCGCGAGGGTCCTGGTCCGCATCTTACCCATGGCCTTTCCCCAGGTGCCAGTAATCATGGCGTCCACTTGGGCGGGCGTCATGGGGCCGAGGACTTGCTCGAGGCGTCTTGGGTCCGCGTGAGCAACGTGCCATGCCTGGGCCAGGAGGCAGGCGACGAACCTAAAGCCTGGGTGGTATGCTTCGTAGGGTTCGCCGTCGATGCCAGATGCGCTTCCCGCAGGGTTCAAGTCGAGGGCGGCTAGGCATCCCCACCGCGGCGCAGGGAGGTCCGGCAGGTGAGTCGTGCGTCCGCCCGCGAAGTAGGAATCGAGGAGGCGCGCGTGGGCGGGCGGCAAGAGTGGCACCGACTGCCAGATGCCTACTCGGCTGTTCCAAGGACCTTCTCCATTCTGGGGGCGGTGCCCTTCCAGCAGTCGCCGGGGCGTCGCACCCCTCTTAAGGAGTGCGTCTTCTTGAATATCTCCCGACCAATCCGGTGGTGCGGGGCGAGTTGGGCTCTTTCCACGCCCGCGCCACGTTGCCATGGGGTGAGCTGAGCTGCCCGCCGCTGGCTCTGGTCCGCACGCCACCTGTTCTCCCAGGCGGCTGCCTCGCTGGGTGAGAGAGAGGACATTGCCGTTCCATCCTGCACTTGTCATCCATGCTGCTAATGGCCCGGTCGGTCTGAAAGCATCGGTGCCGGCGGCGGCTCTTCGCAGCTGCACGCCCATCAAGGGGACTAGGCGTCGCCTGACCCAGTATTTCCACAAGGACGCGATCATCGCGCTGAGGGCGTCGCGGCCGTGCTCGGCCAAAGCGCCGATCCAGGGTGGAGCGCAATCCGTGATGTGTGGGACTGGGTCGTCGTGGCTGTCTTCTTCGTGGGTCAGGTCGTGTCTGTCATCAGCCGGATGCTCGTCTGGGAGGGAGCCAGGGGGGGCGGGCCGGGTCCAGTCGCTGGGTTGCACAAGGCCATTTAGGTCCACCTGCGGCATTTGGAACATCATCTCCAGAATGTTGTAGCGATGTCTCAGGTCGTCATGCGCTTCTCCCGCGAGCGCTTTGTAGGCCCAGGGTGTGAGCACGTCGCATCTCTTGACCGCAGGGAGCGAGGACGGGTCAGCATGTATCAGCGCATGGTCGGAAAGTGACTTTTTCCAGGCCTTGGAGATGCGGTATGATCCTGCCACCGATGCGGGACAGGCGAAGGTGTCGATTTGCGACTCGCCACTAGCCCCGATGCGGGTGGGGGCAGGGTGGGACGCGTGCCTGTTCAGCATGGATACCCATGCGGCAACGTCCTCGATCTCGCCGTCTCGCGGGGCTTGCCATTCCATACCGATGTCTCCCCCGCAGTACGTGTGAACGCCGTCAGGGGTGTCGAGGGCGTCCGAAAGGGTGGACAGGACTTCGGATCGCCGGTCTGGCGGAACATAGACGGACACTACACGTAGTGTCTGGTCCTGCTTGCGTACGGCGGCGGCAATGGCACACCAAGGGACGCATGTGGTAGAGCCGATGCGCTCGTATTCTTGCGAAAAGATAATGGCAACCCCGCCAGCACATCCGCCGCCTGGCCCAGGGTAGGCCAAGGATGCAACTACTCGTCTTCAAGGAAACATGGTCGTCCATACTCCCACGTCGTGGTCGGACCAGTGTGTTTCCTGCAGCAGCGCTATGCGTCTGTGGGCAGACGCCTTGGTGATGGTGGCCAGTTTGGCTTGGTTCTTGTGGGCTAAGGTGCTGCGAAAATACCGAACGTTCCAGATGAGGAAGGAGGGCAGAATGGAGTTGCAGGCGGCGGCCAGGGCGTGGCGGAGGTCATCAAGGCGGCGCTGCTGGCAGAGATCGCCCCATGTGGCCCCCGTTGGGATGGGGCTGCTGTTCAGGAGTGGCCACAGGGTGCTTGGGCAGAGTACAGGGGGGAGGTCGGCTTCTGCTAGGGCTAATATGAGCGCGGCGCTCGCTACGCGCCCTGCGCCGCTACGCTTCCCGAGAATGAGTGAGCCGAGCGGCGGGGAGCCCACCGCTGAGTTAACCAGACGGGCCCCCTATTGGGAGTCTAGGGGCTTCCTAGCACGTCGCAGACCGGTCCTCGCAGGTCGCCGCTTCGAATCATTTGCCTCTCCACGTCGTCCCGGAATGGGGTTCTCATCAGGATGGCGAATGGCTTCTCCCTGCGTGACTCTGCGTGCAGTCGGACGAAGTTTTCCGCGAGCTGTTGCGGGTTGGGGTAGGTCCCTCTGGGAGCCTCACCTGCGCGGAGCCATTCCTTCAAGAAGGTAGCTTGCCGCTGTTGCAGACATCGGGGGTCGAAATGTGCGCCGACGGCGTCGTACAGTTGCCGCCCCTCCAGCCCGAGGGCAGCCAGGTACGGCTCCAATCCAATGGCCCGGGCTCGCTCGCGCTCGTTCGGTGGGCGTAGTCCGCGCGCCCGTCCGCGTCACATGGACCCCTCTCCACTCGTCCCCCCATGCGCCGAGGATGTTCCGGATACGTGTTTTGACCGACTCCAGGTTGCCGAGGAACCAACGCTGCTCGTGATCCAGGTCATACAGCAGGTGTCGCACGCCTGTCTGGTACGTGCTGACTAGAAACTCGTCCTGGTCTCCACGTGACCATGTCCAGGTGGGAACGATTCCGTCGTGTCGGAAGGCCCATCTGGGCCCCCAGGGTGGGGCGATCCTCTGCGTGGCTGGCAGGTCCTCTGGCTGCGCTGGGGGGAAGGACGCCAGCAAGGTGCGCTGCCGTGACCCAGGTGCCCAGTCTGTGACATTCATGATATCCGCGTTGCCTGGGGGTAAATTGCCTAGTGCCTCTCGCATGCTGTCGCTGTGCACCCCTTGCATTGGGTGGACGTTTTCACATATGACTTACACGTAGATGTCGCCTCGCCGTCTGGCAGCGTAATGCAAAGCAAGAGGGACCGCAAAGAAGTGTCACGATGCGCGCCCGGCCAGCCCATCCCATCCTCCATGGGACCCGGCCCTGGCAAGGTTGTTGCCTGGACTGCCGGCCACCACCGCCAATAGGCAGCGTGCGGGAAGCGAGTCGATGAATCCCACCGGGAGGAGCCTTCGAGTCCTTGCATGAACAGGTCCCACACGTCGTTCCATAGCCAGGTGTGCTCGGGTCCTCCGTCATGGGCGCATGGGCGTGCCAGAGCTCTCGGACTCGTGCTGCCAGGTTGCTGTCGATTCCTACGTACGCGGAGCTGTAGAAGGCGCTGGTGGCCCGCAGCTGCGCGGCTAGCTGCCCTTGCGCCAGCCTCGCCGTTCCGACGCCTTCGAAGTCCGACACGAGAGCGAACTTGGGTGTCCCAGGCGGTGCCGCGCTCGTTGGAGGCGCCTGGGGGGCAGGGGGGGCGTGGCGGTCCGCCTGCACCCAGCGTATGCTGCCGGTCACGTCGTCTGGAACGCCATGGGTTGAACCCTGGCGATCACGCCTACGCCCGCAAGCTCGTCCACTGCGTTCGCTAGGGTAATTTGGTTCCAAGTACCTTCTCGGAGGTACGCGTGTATCAGCGGGTCTTTCGGGAGCACTGGGGCCACGCCCGTACTTAGATCGGTCGCGCGAGCAGCACGTCGCGCACGAGCCTGAGCCCGAGCCCAAGCCCGAGCCCGACTAAGCCCAAGCCCGAGTCCGAGTGCGAGCCCCAGCCTGAGCCCGAGTTCGAGCCCCAGCATCAGCACGCTCTAGAGCCCAGCTCCGAGCCCGAGCAACCTTCTGCATACGCAGGAATGCTCGGAATAGAACAGAGATTATCGGGAATGGTATATTTGAAACTTGAGATTTTCATGTTTTTCGTGACATCATACTATCGATTTATCGACGTCTTTTAAAAGTAAAACTGCATCTTCAATGCTCATACTGAGAGGCAGAGCTTCTTATAGCATGCGGCGTGTGCTAAAAATTAAACTCTTAATATGAACAGTCAGATCTGAAGGAAATCGAGCACAAGACACCACATTGTCCGATCTGGTCGGGTCGATCAACTAGCTTCACCCTCCGCCCGAATTCCTCTTAGCTCATCTTGCCGAAAAGCTCTACGAGGTAGTCAGACAAGTCGCTGCGGCGATTCAGGACCAGCGAATCGTAGGCACCACCACCGTCCGGCTTCTAATCTAAAAACCTATAGCTCTCAGAGAGCTCTCCGAGAAGAACCCGGAAGCATCTCAGACTGGCACCGGCGGTAAACCGTCAAACTGGTTACAGCCGGGACCTCGTAGAGTTCCTCGCACGTCCGAGTGCTCGGAATGGAAGCAGAGAGCTTCAGATATCATCTTCTTAAACATCTGTTCGGAAACACTGGGAGCCGCGGTAAGCCGTCAACCTTTGTTTTTTGCGAATTGCGTGTCGCGCTGGCAAGGTCGGGTCACCGCGCAGGCGATAATAGCACGCATCTGGGGCGAGAAACCCGACAAAAGAACTGAACAGCTGCACACACAGGCCTACAAGAAGAAAGACAGGCAGGAGATCAGCATGTAGTAGAGAAGGATGCAACTGCAGCAGAGACATGCCCAGATAGGATCGAAACGTCATCGACCAGAACACTAGAGCTTTCAGCAAGGGGGGAGGGAGGGACAGGGGGGAGGACGGAAAGGGGGGAACAGGTGAAGATATAAGACCGGGATCCGGCGGTAAACCGTCAACCAGGTAAACACCGGAGCCTCGTGCAGCTCTGTTCTCGCGTGGCTGCTCGGAACACACGAAAAAAGCTTTCTCCAGCGTGCAGACAGAAGCTCTCACGTTCGTGGAGCGAGATCAGATCAGACCAAGCTCGAGTATAGGACAAAGCTGAAATCTTCGCTTCATGGACCTAGCTCGTACCAGACCAAGTTCAGACCTGTCGATGCCAGGAAAGGACGCGCCAGATGATACTGAATTAGTTTATATGCGTACCAGCTCTGTTGCTCTTCTAAATCTTCAGTCAAGTAGAGGAAACCGATAGAACTTGTGAAGATGACTCCAGAGATACAAATAGCGCTCCGGACCCAGCGCGAGCGTGAGACCGATATCAGACCTCTAGATGCAACAGACGAACGCGCCTGATGACTGGCACCGGCGGTGAACCGACAACCTGGTCACCGCAAGGAGCCTCGTAGAGCTCCTGTCACGCGTGAGAGTGCTAGAAGTCGAAGGAGAGAGCTTCTGGAGGCATTTCTCAAAACATTCGTTTGTTTGATCTCGACGTAGAGTTGGTTCCTCCAAGTGTTCGATAGCGAAACTGCGCCCACAGAGCTCATATTAGACGCAGCGGCCCTCACATTCGTCTACAGGTGCAAAGAATCTGGTTCCACTGGCACCGGCGGTAAACCGTCAACCTGGTCACCGCCGGGAACCTCGTAGAGCTAGCTCCTCATGCACGAAAGTGCTCAGAATGGAAGCAGGCGACTTCTCGCGGCCTTTCTCGGAAAAATTGATCAACTTTCGATTTGTTCGATGTCACTCCGATCTCGGTTCCCGCTCATTTTCGGATAGTAAATGGGCGCCGGCGGTGAACCGTCAACCTGGTTCCCGCCGGGGACCTCGTAGAGCTCTTTTCTTGCCCAGCTCAGCGGAACACGCGAAGCAAGCTGAGCGAGAGCCAAACAACTCTAAAAAATTCAGTCGGATACAAATAGCTCTGGATGATTCTGTATCGGTTTCTGTGCGTACCAGCTCTGGAGCGCGTGCTACTTGAGTTGAGTGCAGAATACCGACAGCGCCTCCAAAGAGAACGTAAGAAATACGAATAGTGTTGTGGACCTAGCTCGAGTAGCAGAACAAGTTCAGCTCCTGATGCAAGAAACGCACGCGTCTGGTGATATCAATCGGTTTATGTGCGTGTGAGTTCTGCAGCTCCTTTGAATCTTCAGTTGAGTACAGAAAACCAACATCACTGGTCAAGACGACTCGAATAACACACAAATAGTTTGGCAGCCCTAGCTTAGCAGACCAGGGTTCGGCCTCTGGATGCAACAGACGAACGCGCCAGATGATTCTGAATCGGTTTCTGTTAATATCACCTCTGTAGCTGTCCTAAATCTCGAGTTCAGTACAGAAAACCGTCAACGCGTGTCAAGATGATGAAACGGCCGACGGTTCCCTCAAGTCTTTTGATACTAATATTGCAGCTACGGACCTGAGAATTTAACTGGCAGACGCGGCATACACCGCCGAGAACCTCGTAGAGCTCCTCACACCGGTAAGAGTGCTGAAAATCGAAGTAGAGTAATAAGAAAATACATCGGGAGAGCTGAGCTGCTGTCAGACAGGATTTTACACGCCACTACGACGCGCAAAAATCTGCTTTCTCAAAATAAATGGCTGAATATCTTCAACTTTTCGCAAAACCAACCAAAAGTCACCAATTTATCCGCCCCGGCCGGGTGGGCCAACTAGCTCCATCCCGCGCCGGAATTCCTCCAGCTCATCGATGACGAAGAGCTCAAGGAGATATGTAACCGTCAACGCGTGTCGAGATGACTGAGACCCGCCGACGGTTCCCTCATGTCTTTTGATGGTAATATTGCAGCTACGGCCTGAGAGTTTAACTGGCAGACGCGGCATGACCTACTACACGTGAAAAAAATACCGGTTCTCAAAACGAATTTCAATCGGCGGTAAACCGTCAATTCATTAGCAGACGCGACAGAATCCACTACAGGTGCGAAAAATACCCGTTCTTAAAACAAATGTTCAAATCTCTCACAAAGTTCTTCCAACCGACCCAAAGTTCGCACTGTCCGTCGGGGCCGGGTCAGCCAACTGGGCGCCGGCGGTAAACCGTCAACCTTTCTTACCGCCGGGGGACTCGTAGAGCTTCCTGACAATATATAACGTAGAGAACAAATTGTAGAGAGCGAATAGTTTTCCAGTCCAAGCGATTTTAGACCTCTCGATGCAACAACCCAACGCCCCCCGATGTTTCTGGATTGTCTTCTTTACAGCTCTGTAGCTCTCCTAGCCCGAGTTACGTGCATAAATGCACCTCTCAAGATGACTCTAACAAAACGAACAGTTTGGCAACGCAGCTCGAGTATCAAACCGAGTTCAAACCTCTGAATGCGACAGGCGGACGCGTCTGATGCCTGCGAATCGACTCCTGTGATTACCAGCCCTGCAGCCCCCCATACAGCTGTCAAGATGACTCGAATAATACCAATAGGACCTAGCTCGACTAGCAGACCGCGTTCAGACATCTGGATTCAACAGGCGAACGCGCTGGATCATTCCTTATGCATTCAGAATAAGACGCGCTCGTCTGTGGCATCCAGAAGTCTACACTGGCTTTTTTTATTGTACATACCTCGTAGAGCTTTTCGACTGCAACCAGCGGTAATCCGTCAACCTGATTGACGCCAGGAACCTTGTAGAGCTCTTTTCTTGCACGGCAATCGTCGAAACACATTGAGAAAGCTTCTGGAGCGAGAAAGAACAAACTCCCAAAATCACGTTTTTCTTTATATTTAACGTCGGTTCCCAAGTGTTTTGAGAATACTGCACCTAGAGACCTGAAAATTTTCTCTGGCAGACGCGGCATAACGGATCACAGGTAAGAGCTTCTGGAGGCATATCTGGAAAAAAACCTACATTGATTTTTTTTATGTCGACAAGAAGTTGGTTGCGCCAAGTGTTTTGAAGTGAAAGAGCGACTATAGAACTTGTATTGAGACGCAGAGGCCTTCAAAGTCGTTCACAGGTGCAACAAATGCTTTCTTAAAATAAATTATACAATATCTTCTAAATCTCAGCAAAACCGACCGAAAGTTATCAGATAGCGTCCAAAATCCGGGGAACGCAGAGACCCTGGGCACTGGCGCCGGCGATGAAC